GCGGTCAAGAGTTGGCCTAGACCTCTAACTCCTTCCGATATTAGAAGTTTTTTGGGTTTGGCCGGTTACTATAGAAGATCTGTTGAGGGATTTTCTTCCATTGCTACTCCTTTGACGGCTTTGACTCAAAAGAAAGCTAAGTTTGTGTGGTCGGAGGCTTGTGAGAAAAGTTTCCAGGAGTTGAAAGATAGACTTACTTCCGCTCCCATGTTGACCTTACCAGAAAGTACTGATGGTTTTGTGGTGTATTGTGATGCCTCTAGAGTGGGGTTGGGATGTGCGCTCATGTAAAACGATAAAGTGATTGCCTATGCTTCAAGGCAACTTAAAATCCATGAAAAGAATTATCCGACCCATGATCTTGAATTATCGATTGTTGTGTTTGCCTTAAAAATATGGAGACATTATTTGTATGGGGTCCATGTGGATGTTTTCACCGATCACAAGAGTCTTCAATATATATTTAGTCAAAAGGACCTGAATTTTCAACGAAGAAGGTGGCTAGAACTCTTGAAGGATTATGATATGAGTGTCCTTTACCACCCCGACAAAGTTAATGTGGTAGGGGATGCACTTAATAGATTATCCATGGATAGTGTGGCTCATGTAGAGGATGAAAATAAAGAATTGGTTCGTGATGCGCATAGGTTGGCTCGGCTAGGTGTTCAACTAGTGGATTCCACCAAGGGTGGTTTCATGGTCCATAATGGTTCCAAATCATCCTTTGTGATGGAGGTGAAGTCAAAACAAGGCCTTGATCCTATATTAGTTGAATTGAAAGAATCGGTACTTAAGAAGTCCATCGAGGCTTCTCCTAAGGGGGAGATGAGGTGCTTAGGTACCAAGGTCAGTTATGTGTTCCGGATGTTGATGGTTTGAGGGAACAAAATTTAGAGGAAGCTCATAGTTCTCGATATTCTATTCATCCGGGAGCCACCAAGATGTACCGTGATCTATCAGAAGTCTATTGGTGGAATGGGATGAAGAAAGATATTGCGGGCTTTGTAGCCAAATGTCCTAATTGTCAACAAGTTAAGGTTGAGCATCAAAGGCCGGGAGGCTTGTCCCAAGATATAACTATTTCCACTTGAAAGTGGGAACATGTAAATATGGACTTTATTGTGGGTTTGCCTCGCACCCTAAGGCAACATGATTTTATTTGGGTCATTATAGATCGGATGACAAAATCAATATGGACTTTGTTGTGGGTTTGCCTCTTACTCGAAGGCAACGTGATTCTATCTGGGTTATTGTTGATATGATGACTAAATCAGCCCACTTTATTCCCGTCAAGGTTTCTTTTTCAGCGGAAGACTATGCCAAGTTGTATATAAGGGAGATAGTGGGAAGTTGCATGGGGTTCCTTTGTCTATTATTTCGGATAGGGGTACTCAATTTACTCCATATTTTTGGAAGGCATTCCAACAAATGCTTGGTACCAATGTTAAGCTTAGTACCGCCTTCCACCCTCAAACGGATGGTCAAGAGGAACGTACCATTCAAACCGTAGAGGATATGTTGAGGGCGTGTGGCATAGATTTGAAAGGTAATTGGGATGACAATCTCCCATTGATAGAATTTGCCTACAACAATAGTTACCACTCAATCACTGCCATGGCTCCGTTTGAAGCACTATATGGTAGGAGGTTTAGATCTCCGGTTGGTTGGTTTGAAGTAGGTGAATTTTCTCTAATTGGTTCCGAACTATTTTATGAGGCCATTGAAAAAGTTTGACTTATTAGAGAGAGGTTGAAGAATGAAGTTTCTCTATCTATTATTTCCGATCGGGGTACTCAATTTACTTCTCACTTTTGGAAGTCATTCCAAAAAGGTCTTGGCACTAAGGTGAAGCTTAGCACAACTTTTCACCCCCAAATGGATGGACAAGCGGAACTCACCATTCAGACCTTGGAAGACATGTTGAGGGCATGCATGATAGATTTTAAAGGTGATTGGGATGACCACTTGCCACTAATAGAGTTTGCCTACTGGATTTAGAATTTGAGGTTAATGATTGGGTATATTTGAAAATTTCACCCATGAAGGGTGTGATGAGATTTGGCAAGAAAGGGAAACTTAGTCCCCGGTATGTAGGCCCATATAAAATTTTGAAGCGTATTGGGAAGATTGCTTATGAGTTGGATTTGCCAAATGAGTTGGCCCCGGTTCATCCAGTATTTCATGTGTCTATGCTTAAGAAATGTATTGGATATCCGCCATCCATTATTCCCCTAGAAGGGTTGGGAGTTGACGAAAGTCTTTCATATGAAGAGATTCCATCCTAGACTGGCAAGTCAAGAGATTGAGAAACAAGGAAATAGCTTCCGTGAAGGTTTTATGGAGAAATCACTTAGTTGAGGGTGCTACTTGGGAGGCCGAGGCCAATATGAAGTCCTGATATCCTCATCTCTTTCCTTCTACTCCTATTCAAGCTTGATGTAAGTAGTTCCTTTTGAGTTTTAGTGTTTCGGGAGTCATGTGTGTTATATGTGTTTTCCTATGATTTTCTTATGTTGTGCATGTTCTTGATGAAATTCATATTTTGTGAGAAAATGAGTTTCAATGATTTATGTTCCTCATGTTGTTGTGCATTGAGTAAGAGTTGCCTATTTGACTTCATGAGATAGATTGATGAACATACTTTAGTATGTTTTTGAGAATAATTACATATTGTCTCCATGATATTGTGTTGAGCATGCTTTTAGTTGGAGAAGGTAGTTCCTCCTATGAATATGAGAAATGTTGAGTTTCATGCATAATGGGTTGTTAGATGTAGTTCCTACCTTCCTTGTGGTGCATTGATTATGTTTGAGATGGAGATTAAGTTTCCTCCTTTGAATTGTGCATTATTTTGATGTTTCTGCATGATGGGCAGCTAGTTTTGAGTCTTTACTTCAGTAAAGTATCTAGATAGTCATTTGAGGACGAATGATCTCAAGGGGGAGATATTGTAACTCTCTGGAAACTAGTAGGCTAAACTAGATCTTAACTTGAGGGTTACAGTAGTAAATGTAACTCCCCGTACTTAAAAATAAAGGGTTTCGTGTTAGAGCATCAAAGTACGACCCCAATGACCAACCATGAGTCCTTGAGGAAGGCCTTAGAAATTACCTGGGCAGTGACCCAAAGAGGGGATCCACGCCTCATGGGTCAGGCCATGCCTCGTGGGTGAGAGGCCTTAGGTCAAGCCTGCAAATATCGATTAGAATAGCTCCTACAACTCAATTCATAGTTTAGTTGATAAAACCTTTCAACTATAAGAATCCTTTATGTCTGAAAACCTCACATTCATGTATTGATCAATATGTCAGAAATCATTTCACAACAATCAATAACAACATTTATGCTTTACTCTCAAAGCAACTTATATCATTTTCATCAATTTCATAACAACATGCATATCTTCATAAAATCATCTTTCATAGTTCAAAACCAATTTTCAATCATCATATTCCAGAAAATATTGGTTAAGCATGGGTTCATGGGAATTCAACTTAAAAACATAGAATTATCTCAATTCATGCATAATAGTTTATAAAACAATCAATTGAATCAACATTGAAAGGAACCCATGACATGGAAGAAAACCCTCACCTTAATTGGAGATTTCTAATTTTTAAATTGGAGAATTTAGGAACCCTATGGAGGAAAGAGTTCTCTAGGTGAATACTATCATACCTTGATGCCAAAAACTTGCAAGTAATGGAGGATTTGGAAACTTGACCTTGAAACCCTAGTCTTCTTCTTCCTTAGTGAGAGAAATATTTGAGAGCAAGACTTGTTCAACTTTTGAGAATTTAGGAGAATGAATTAAATTAGGTGTTTTGGGGGTTAAAATTCATTTTATAGGGTTTTGGGTAAATGGTAAAATGACATAGTATTAGGTTAAAACAATTAGGGAAAAGGTCAAGAAGTCCCTTAAAATAACTACCGACCCTCGCCGACGGTTTAACGTACGGTCTGGAGGTCCTACTACAGACCGTCCTTGTCATGACCTAGACCGTCGTGATTGGCACCCACACTAACCCTCCAATGGGAGAACTACTACTACAACCCAACCAAGCATCCTTAACCAAGAAACTACACATATAAAGATAAGGAAGAAGGTTTAAATGACAATAAAAATACGGAGTTCTCATAAACTCCAAAGGTTTAACAAATAACTTAACCAAACTAATACGGAAGTCTTAACCCCTAGAACCTGAAAGTCAATGTACCAAAGCTCTACTAACGACAAGTCTAAGAACAAGGGTACAACCCCGAAACTAAATAAACACCTTAAACAAATAGCCTAAGTCCGAAAAGAGTGGACTTAAACAAGAAAGATCCATGGCAGCCTGAAAGAACTCGCTCACCCTTGAATCCGATCACGCTCAACAGTCACCTAGCTGAGGTCTATGACACTACAAGAAAAAAGGCATTTCCCAACAATTAGTTTTGTTTCTATATATAGGATGTTGTTGCAAAAAGTACTTTTGGCAACAATATAAAAGTTGTTGCAATAAACGCTAATTCGAAAAGTTTTTGCAACAACAAAATATATTGATGCCAAAAACTAACTTATTGCAACGAAAATAATTGTTGCCTTACATTATTATAGTTGTGGCTTATAAAAAATTTCGCAACAAAATTTAGTGTTGCCACAAATTAATATTTTTACCAACAATATTAATTGTTGTAAAAAATGGACAAAAAGTTAGTTAGTAATGTGTTGGGAAGGCTTTTAGCAACAATAAATTTTATTGCAATAAACATATTTATTATATACCTTTAGCAACAATTTGTGAGTTGTTGCTACATACTTAATACACATTTTCTTTTTAGAAATTTTATACAAATATTTCTACACTTTTAGCAACAATTTGTGAATAGCTGCTATATACACAATACACTTTTCTTTTAGAAAATTTTCACAAATATTTATATTAAGAATTATATAAATTTGCAAAGGTCAATATAAGATTGATATTCCAAAGAACTAAATACTACTATATATGTTTGTACTTGTAAGAAAAAATAATAAGCAAGTCATTAATTATATTCTAATCCTACTAGTTATAACTTTTGAATAGTCCGATCTTCCAATAGTACTTGTATTGAAGCAATGGTTCAATTATGCATGTTCATCCTGCAAATAAAAGATAAATATAATTATAATTTGACAAAGTAAGTTATAAAATACACAAATAAAAATCTAAAAAGCAGAGATATTCACATGAATGCACTCACTAATACACCCAAACACACTTTAACCCTCCTGATAAATCTCCTTAATCTCTTGATAAATCTCCTTATTTCATTTGAAAATGACCAAAATCAGAGACACTATAAATTATGTACAGAAGAGAGAGTGAGATGTTCCAGATTTGCTAAAGGATCATCTGTTCACTTCCTACAACCCCAAGAATGTCACAAAAATAAAAGGAAGTAAAACGTAATCTTAATCTCCTGGAATAATTTTGTGAAATAAACTTTTTAAACAGTTTCCAGCTTCGTGGAGACTTCCCTTTTCCCTTCTTATCAAACTTGACCAAGAGCATTGATTGAGTTTAAAAAGAGATAATAACTGAATATGAAATCACAAGAACAACTCTCTATGTGTAGTGATTTTAATCCATCAAAACTCTTCTTGTTCACAATCAACTTCCTGCTGGCATACTACTCTCCAAATCAGATGCAAACAATATCTCATCAAAAGAAGTCGATCTAAGATAGCCAAATCATATGCACAATCAAGCAATTGCAAATGACAAATATTACCAATATCTGGTAACTCTTTCAAATCATTGCAATTTTGTAGTATTAGAGATCGTAGTTGACATAAACTATTGATGGAAGAAGGCAGTGCTCTAATACCAGTATGAATCAGATTCACAATTCTTCAAGCTGAAAATGCAAAACAAGAGATATTTAGGCAATGTACCTCACTTGATTTCTTCTTTTCCAGCTCTACAATTTTTTCCTCAAGTGATGATTTTTCACTCAAAAGCCTCTTTTTTGTTTCTTCTGCGGTATGCAACATAGAACGAGCTTTCAACTCTTCATGGATCTTTTCAAAGACCTGCAATTAGTGAAGTCACATGAGTTATTGTTTTATGGATACTAATCTGGACAAAATATAAAGGCCAAATATTTTTTATAGCTTTACCTGATTATTTGTGTCAACCAACTCTTTCGGAATAGTTTTCTTTGAACCTTGAGAACTCAACTTTGGAAGCCGCATTTCTAAGCTTCGCTTCTCTGATAGGGCAGCCTACAAGGAATGGAGTAATAAAATGAATGATTGTCCCCTTAATAAATCAAATTTAATAACATTAAAAAAATACCTTAAGCTCTACATCTTTTTCATTGCACAACGAACTGAATTTATCACTATCATAAATAGCCATTTCTAAGTTTTGCGTCTCAAAAGTCAAGATATCTTTCAAGTTATCCAATTCTTTTTGCATCTGTGATTCTTGGTTTTACTTTCCATGTAAAGCATCCTGCAGCTGCTCATCAATACAAAGATTATAAGCTTGAAGTAAATATATATCTAAAATACGTTTATTACATATTGTGTTTTTCTGTTGTAATTAAAATGAAAGATGGATATGAATAGAGATACAACTTATCGACACAAGAAGAGGAAAAATCTATTCCAATAATAATATAGCAAGTCAATGTTAGCAATAAAGAACAATATCTATTTTCATCTAATTACCAACAACATATACTTGTAAACAAAAACAAATTTTCAGCAACATATACTATTTTCATATAATTACCAGATGTGATGCTCGAACAAACTAACAACATATGTTTTGAGATCAAGGAGCAATACCCGACAATAACACTAGTTCAACATGTAATAATAATAGTAATTAGAGTTTGGTTACCTAAAGAGGCAGGAGGACTAAACATCCTAGATGTAGGCTATTGGAACTAGATAGTTATATGCAAGTTGCTATGAAATTTGTGCTATAAAAAAGATAAGTTATGGGTTAAGTGGGTCCACTTCTGTTACATAAAGGGAAATTCTATCTGGAAATGCACGCCAAAACAGGCTTCATAGGTGGTGCAGAAGATTTTTCAAGCAAAGAAGTATCTGGAGGAAGCGTACATAAGGGAGGTGGAGCTTACAACAATGGATGCATTTTCCATTAAAGAGATGTATGTTTGATTGAGAAGTAATTTCCAAGTGGTAGACTGGTGGAAACTGATTCACAATAACAAGGGTTCCCTAAAAGGTAATCAGGAAAATAATCCAAGAGGTCGTGTTCAGAGGATCATATCAAGCACGCCTAACAGCAGCCAAAGCAAGTCTAAATTTTTACCCTTGAGAATATAAAAAATAGATATGAGACATTTACTTACCCAATTGTTATTCATTAGACTTGCAGAACTTGTCTCATTTGAATTAGTTGAAGTTGTAATGATATTGAAAATCGAAGCAGGAAGGCCATTCTGTTAAATATGGTACAAATTAATAACTTAGTATGTCGATGAAAGAAGAATAGAAAGAAAGAGGCGATGATGTATAGTGAGAGTGAAAAATATTTAAGTAGCAATGTAGCATCTACTAATTTAGTGATGTATACTATAAACAAATACATTGGGATTCTGCATATGAGATACTAGTGCCATCATGCTCTCTTTTAACAATTTTTGGTCATGCACTAAACGAACTTCCATTACTTCTCGGTTTTTTCGCTCCTCTTCAAGTTGATTCTTAACTTCTATTAGCTTGCTTTCTACACTCTCTTGTTTACGACGTTCTTCTTCTGCTTCATTTTGTTGTGCTTAAAATTGTTCTTGAATTTCATTTCTAGATATTCTACTTGCTAACTTAATTCCAGATCCTTGACCAAGAATGTACTTTGATTTTTCTCCCATTATTTGCACAAATGCAACATTAATAATAGGATCCACATCGGTACCCTCTTCAATTTCTTGACTTTTTTCAGCAACAACATCTTTCACTTTATCCTACAAAAAGGTTATACTAGCTTTAACACTCCATATTTATTTAAATAAACTCATTCTATGAATAAAGGTAGAAAAAAAAAGTACATTCACTTCAGCAGAATCATGAGTAACCCATTGTCCATTTGGCTTCATGTGAGTTATTTCCCAAAGTTTTTGAAAATTCAGCTCTTTTCCAGTGGTTGTGTCCCTCTGTCAAAACAAATGAAATTATGTTATTGTTAAAATTGTAACAATAATCGATCAAAAGAAAGATATATATCTCACCGCTTCATAAGACACTGCTTGAAAAGTTTTTTTGCCGCAAATATGATTCACTTCTTGTTTTGCCTTGTTATTTTTTGTTTCTTTCACTCATTTTCTGCATTGATGTTGAGTTTAGAAATTTATTTTGATCTAAGTATATAACAAGTCAAAAAAAGAAAACAAACAATATAAAAAGGTTACTGAAAGGGTAAGATGGAGTGTCATCAACTCATGCAGAAGATTACTAAAAGGGTAAGTAATGCTTATGCTAGGAAGCTCTCTTATGCAGGAAGACTACAAATAGTCAATGTTGTTTTCTTTTTTATATTTAACTTTTGGGGTGGAGTCTTTATCTTACCTCCAAGTGTACTCAAGGCTATGGATAGAAAATGCAAAGATTTTATATGGGGAAGTAGTGCAGATCACAGAGAAAGGCACCTTTGGTTGCTTGGGACAAGGTGTGCCTCTCAAAGAAATTCGAAGGACTAAATGTTAAGGGATGCAGAAACTGGAATGAAGCTTCAGTTGACAAGTTATTATGGCAGGTTTCAGAGAAGCAAGACATTCTCTGGGTAAAAATGGGTACATGGAGTGTATATAAAGCAACATAGAAATATCAGGAATAACATACCTACTGACTGTAGTTGGTACTGGGGAAGTTGACCTCTCTGAAACCTATAAGATGGCAGATTGGTACAAAAATGACAAGTAAAAGTTGACAAAATATGGCACTTATTCAGTCACAAGGAGCTATAATGCACTGATAGGGACTCAAACCACATGCTATGGGAAGCAAATCTTATATGGACAAAAATTTGCAGCCAAAACATAGATTTATCTTATGGTTAGCAAATCAGAACAGACTGCTTACCAAGTCTAGAATGATGCGATTGAACATTCATGTGGAGGATGCAAAGTGTTGTCTCTGTTTGGCAGGGGTAGTAGAAATTCCTCAACACCTATTCTCCGAGTGTGACTGGATTACTGCAGTTCGACATGGTCTGACAAACTAGACAGAGGTCTAAATGGTTCAGAAGGATCTGAAATGGCAGAAATAAAGGGAATGGAAGAAAATACAGAATTTGCTGGCAATATAGGGGGCAATGATCTATCACACATGGAAAGCAAGAAATTGAAAGATTTTTCAAAGCATAGATGTGAGTACAAGTTTTGCAATTGTACAAATATAGAAAGAAGTGAGAGATCAAATAGCCATTCTCCAGAACACAAGGTGTCGGATTCTGTTGAGAAGACTAACTAGAGAGCAAATAGGTTAGATCAAAAGAATGAATTTATTTGTATTTGGTAATAGCTTATGTTTTATTTTCCTTGAATAGCTTTGATTGAGACCTTGATAGTCCTAAACCTCTTCTTGGAGGTTGTTGGGACAAGAGGTGCTCTTTAGGTTGTAAATTTGCATTTTTCATATTGGAGTAATAGTAGTATTCACAGTTATTACCAAAAAAAATATAAAATGTTAAATTTTTCACTTTTAACTACCTTAAAATCATCAGAGCTGGAGTAGTTTACCAAGAATTTCCATTCAGCTTCATTAACATCTGTTGGTATGTTTTGCAGACTCTCTTCTTTTGTAGCAAATTTCTTGAAATGATCATGATGTCTACTCCGACGATATCGATACAATTTTTTTGTTGTTTGAAGAATGGTATCCCGATTGTGTTGTATGTCCGGAAGCTGAAAGGTGTCCTGCAATCAAAAATAGTATAAAATAATTAGGCTAAATAAAATGTGTCTTAGTTAGTTTCCAACCCAACTGTAGTTCTCAAAAGTTCAACATCTGTTATATCAAATTTATCGCTCAAATCTTTTCATAAGTTATAAGCTCTTTGATTCTCCTTGACCATTGTTTGGATTCAGCACATACTAGAAGAAACACTACATTATAGATCAGCTCCTGCAGATTACAATGCATAAAGAGGTCAAGTAGCTAAACTTCTTCGATGAGATAATGCCCTATTGAGATATTCTTTAAATGACCTATATTCTAAATGAAATGGACCATATTGATGAATATCATGAAGGTACTTTAAATTTGATTTGGAACAGAGTGTTTAGAGAGGTTCAACAATTAAGAAGTTAAAGTAGATTGAATTTAATTGAATGGCATTTCATTGAGCAAATGTTAATGGAGATTGGATTTCATAGTATGATGGTTAAATGGCTATAAGAACTGTCAGCAATACATTTTTGATCAATGGTTCCTAATTAGAAACTAACCATGAGTTCCATTGTAAGAGACAAAAAATCATCTAGCTTAGCTTTGCTGATGACTTGTTGATGTTCTGCAGGGCAGATATAAAGTCTGTGAGCATTCTACATAAAATAATATCTATATCCCAATGCAAGCCTCTTATAGACAAACATCTCCAGGAAGCGGGATATAATGAACCTATTTTGCTGCTTATGGATCAGTACTCTATTAGGAATGTTTATAGGAAGATGAGAGGAGATATGGAGAAAGTTGGTCTGGGCTTCATACTGTATATTGCATTAAACATGAAGTTGTCAACAAAAGTCAGATTGGCTAAATGGGGGATAGAAACAATATTGACATGTTTCATGTGTCAATAAGATGATTAAGACATTGATCACCTATTCTTTGACTGTTCATTCAGTGCAAGTGTATGTACCAAGTTGCTAGCATGACAAGGAATACATAGACCTGTTTTAAAGTGGCATGAAGAAGTTCAATGGGCACTCACACACATGAAGGGTCGGAACAGTGTAGCTCAAGTATATAGGATAACTTTGGCTGGGACCATTTATTACTTGTGGATGGAACGCAACTGTGGGATCTTTCAAAATAAACAGACATCTGAGGAGAGTATTATTAGACGTATCATTCGAGATGTACATGGAAGAGGATCTCAACATGCTAGATTAGGTGGAAGACTACAACAACTTAATGTATATCCTTAAGCATAGGGATAGTTACTAGAATGTGATGTTTGGTAGAGCTTAGGGCTGCTTGTCCAAGCCTACTGGATGGTTTTGTTTTGAATTGTTCACTTTGGTAATAAAATCTACTTACCAAAAAAAAAAACTATCAAAGTTAAGAGAGGTTTCAGACAAGGCTCCAAGCAAACCTAATCTCAAACAGGGCTCTAGGCGAGAGGAGATGAAACAAAATCACAACTAAAATAACCACATGGATGGC